CAGTTGCAGCAAACCTGCCCGCCTTCACCCCCATTATAGGTTTCAACGTCCCCGTCGAACACATTGACCCGTGCCCTGGCTCTGATATCATTTGTAGCATCCCCCTCTGGAACGTATCACAATATTGTCCGCTTTGGGCTCCCGACACGAAAACTTCCCAGGGGGTCACCCATCCCTTGATTGCTCTCGCCAGGGAATGCTTAACTGCAAAGTTCTTATGGGATCTGTTGCCTTCACGGATTTAAAACACATTGTGACAGAGAAGGTATCCACACCCATTTAATGAGTGCTTAGTTCTCCTTCCCAGCCGATGTAGGATCAGTTGCAGCTAACCTGCCCGCCTAAACAAGGTGGGTTGCACCTAATCCCACATCGACATGGATGGGGAACGAAACATTTCCTTATAAGGGGTGTGGATACCTTCCTTATCACAACGCGTTTTAAAGACGTGAGGGCAACATATCCGATAAGAACTCTGCAGTTAAGCGTGCCCGGGCAAGAGCAATCCAGGGATGGGTGACTCCCTGGGAAGTTTTCGTGCACGGAGCCCAAAGCGGACAATATTGTGATACGTGCCAGAGGGGGATGCTACAAATGGTATCAGAGCTGGGGCACGGGTCGATGTGTTCAACGGGGAGGTCGAACCCTATAATGGGGGGGGGTGAAGGTGGGTTGCACCTGATCCCACATCGGCTTGGAAGGGGAACGAAACATTTCCTTATAAGGGGTATGGATACCTTCCTTGTTACAACGTGTTTTAAAGTCGTGAGGGCAGTAGATCCCATAAGAACTCTACAGTTAAGCGTGTCCAGGCGAGAGCTATCCAAGGATGGGTAACCCCCTGGGAAGTTTTCGTGCCGGGAGCCCAAAGCGGACAATATTGTGATACGTGCCAGAGGGGGATGTTACAAAGTCTTATGACGTCATCACAAATCAGGAAATCGGGAAACAGAATTTTGGACAATAAGATTGATTCTAATCCATGTCTCATGTCCCTACGATATCTAGAAGAATAGAGGAATATTTGATCACTTATCTAAAGGGCAAGTATTTGATCGGATCAAAGTTCAACAGTTGCTTTGGAAAGCGCCCTTTGCTGTTTAATTTAGAAGTTATACCAGTAATTTAGTTTTAGACTTATCCAAGTGGGAGACTATTGGATTAGGTTTCTAAGCCAATAACTAAATTAGTATAATCTTGAATTATTAGGCTAAGCGTAGTGGCACTCGCCAAAGCCACTCTCTTAGCTCGCCATTGATGTAGAACACCACCCCCTAGCTCTCGCAAGGGGGCTTAACAAAGAATAGTCGTCATCCTCAAAGTGTGAAGAAAGAGAAAGAAGTGAAGGCTTTGATTGGGTGAAATGGTTTGTTTGGGATTGCAACCTGCGTATTCTATGCATCCAAAATAATTTATGGATAAAATTAAATATCTCAACAACCTCAAGGATTTACTTGTGATTTAATTAAAAAAAATGTTTTTAATAACATATATATATATATATATATATATATATATATATATATATATATATATTAAACTACCATTCAACTAATATAAATTAAACCACACTCTCACCAATTTACACACAGAAAATACCAAAGACGAATTGGAAGACCAGTATTCGGAGGAAAGACCCGTTGTTTTAGTGTGTGTTTTTTTATGTATTAAATCGTGTTTTAGGTCTTAAGTAGTATTAAATCGTGCTTTAAGTTATTGTAATCGTTTTTATTTAATATGAAGTGTTTTTCGTTAAAAAAAATTATGTCATACTAATTAAATAAAAAAATGTTTGTGTGTTGTTAAAAAAATATATTATTTAATATTAAATAAAAAATGTTTTTTTATTAAAATAAAGTAATTAAATTAAATTACAAAAAGAAAATACAAAAAATATATTTTATATAACATTAAATAAAAAATGTTTATTTATTAAAATATAGTAATTAAATTAAATTAGAAAAAGAAAAATAAAAAATGGAGTGCTAGGAGTGTTACCAATCCTATCAAATGTTAAGTTTAGATGCTAAAAGGAGAAAAATAAAGTGACACTTAAAAAGCTGATGTGACAAGGTGCTAAGAGTGTTACCACTCTCCTTAGCCTTAGCAAAGTCCTTTTGGGTTGCCCTCAAACCGAGTAATTAACTGGAATGCATTTTAGAGAGAGAGAGAGACCGATTTATTAATTTATTATATGGTTAATAAATTAATTAGACATCAAAATAAATAATTTAGTAATATATTATGAGAATAATATATTAGTTATAAATAATATTGTTTAATTAAAAATTAATCATAAATTAATTGGAATTAATTTTGGGATTAATTAGATTAATTAAAAGTGGAAGGACTAAAGATGACAATGTTTAAAAGTTGAGCATTAAGCAAATTTAGAACCTACCATAGGGGCGGGGGGCTTCTAGAGAAGTTCTAGATGGTTTCTAGAGCTTTTCCTGTGCTCTAAGGAAACTTGGATGCCTTAGGGGAAAAACAAAAGGGATAAGGCTTACCCAAGGAAACTACCTTATCCTAGCATCCCTTAGTCACCTATATAAACCCTCTTGGGTTATGAATTTCGTCCACCCCTTCTACAAGAGATAGAACCGAAAATCTCATTCCTCCTTTCTTATCCTCTTTAGCCTCCAACTTGCTAGGGTTTGGGTATGAGCCATTAGAGACACGAGACTTCTGGTGCTTGATTTCTAAAGACCAACAAAGGAAGTATTACTAGTTTATTTTCAATAATAAACTAATGTATGTATCTTCTAATAACCCTTTAGTGTCCTCGAAAATAGCAATGTACTTTTAGGTTTCTTGATATTTAATAGTTGTTTGCAAATCATAGTGACTACATAAATCCTTTAGGGTGCATGTGAACTTAAGGTTTGTGTTTTTCTGACGAAACAAAATTTTGTAACATATAAAGCCCATCATCTTTTCCTCATGAGACAATTTCTTTATCTAATCAGCATATAAGTTTTTAATTTCCTTATCTAATCAGCATATAAGTTTTTAAGTGTGTTGCTATTAATTTGAAAGTGAGACAAAAACAATGGGACAATTTATTGTCATGTTTTTTTTTATATATTACTATCATGTAGGATTCCCTGCCAGCCATTGCAAACGACTCCTCGAGTACCTAAAGATATTTAGATATTTTTTCAACTGTTTAGCTGTATTTGACATTTATATAGATATTCAATTCAAAATTTAAAAACATTGTTGAAAAACAATGGATATTTTATAATTTTCTACGTGCTACAATTTAATTAATAATTTTATTTTATATTATAGATAAAAAAAAATTATGTAGACATAAGTAGCTTAAATTATAGAATCGCATGAGTATTTACCGACCACAAAATATACTAGAAAATATTTTTTGATTGTAGAAAATAAAAAAGTACCACTAAAATCTTAAAATATGTAACTAAAAGTAGCATGAATTTTTGACTTACATGATCTTTCATTGGTACAAAACATGTGCCACAAAAACATTTCTTTTACCATGACAAATAGAAAATGTCACTAAAAGCCTAAAAAAATTACAACGGCAAAAACAAAAAGCGTTATTAAAGTGTTTAGTGGAAGCATTTTTAGTGACACTTATTATGTATGTCGTTAATTATCTGAGAAACTTTTAGTGTTATTTTTTGGGGTTTTAGTGGCACTTTTTGTGTTCCACTAAATGACATTTTTTGTAGTGATATGTATTGATCGACTAAGCTCGAATGTAAAACACAATTAACCTAAAACACCTTATTTAACCATAAACTAACCTCTACATGATTTGTATTGAAATGAAAATTATGGATGAACTTCATACTTCTTGAACACTAGAAATCACTCAAGGAATAATGATGAGGAAGAATGCCAACACAAGACCACAAATTTCACCAAAACACCCATTTGATCACTTCCAAACTTCAAAGAAAAAAAAAACTCTCTAAAATACCCTCTCTAACTTGAGTTGTTGGCTGCAAATAGGATTAAAAACCCGCATTTTAGGTTAGCCTTCTTTAAATAGTCTCTAAATTACATATTTGGCCCTTAAAGTGTCACAAAATGACCCCAAAACCCATTTATATGTTCAAGGCTCATTTTATTACACTTAAGCCCCCATAAATCAACTTTAAATCAAGGAAAATGTTAGTTCATGAAGGAAACTTAACGGAAAATTAACATCGTCAATAGTAGGATATTTGGGTCATCACATGTATATATTGGCCCTAACTTGCCCAAAATCCCATGGATAATTCTTTTTCCAAATTCTTTGATAAATAACCACCAAACATACTAAACCCTATCTTATGAATTTATAATTATGACATTCCATTCAGCTGTTTTTTTTATTTATTTAATTCCCCTCATTCAAAGTCTTTAAAGTACAAATAAAACTTATATTTTCACTAAAAATAAACTGGCATTGTAGTTTGGTAAATGTCCATACCAACCAATTTATCGACATTTCACTCTAGCTGATCGATTGTCTAAACATATTTCTTACATAAAACAATGCTCTTTAAATACATTTCATGCCTTCCATAACATTATCTTAAAATTTCGTACGTTGAGGCCCATATATTCGAAATTACCTATTTAAGCATCATACTTCAACCTTTGCTAAATCATGGCACAACCATTATGACTTGCTTATGTGAAATCTATAATCATTCCGATATATTACAATTACATCTAAAGTCATTTCTTGGCAGATTAACATCTATTTATACCTTTTTCATGTCGAAAATATATCACTTATACACATAATTTCATAACTTGAGACTTTTAACAAATAAAATATTAACAACTTGGGTACCCTTGAATATACTTAGTCAATATGTTTTTATAGTCTTATAATTATGGAACGGCGTGTTAGCATTCAATGATATGAAGTACGTACACCAGCCATTAAATTCTTCAAAAGAAAACAAAACTTTTAATTATTAAAATATGATGTTTCATTGAATTTGTAAAGTTCAATACATTGTAGAAATATTTTGATAGAGTTGTATAGAAGGTAGGATTATATGTGTCAATCCATTAAAATCTAACAAGTTTAATACGTTACGGTGGCCCGAAATAACTTATAAAAAGATCCAAATGGAGATATATAAGCAACACTATCCATAGGTACTTGAACATATGATCATTCGAAAAATACATGAACGCCGAGTGCCATGGAACATAGCATGCTCATGGTCGAATATTAAACTCCACACTAACACACAATCCTGCGCAAAACCATAACATAAAGCAGGGGTTAAGGACCAATTGCATAAGTTGATAAACAAATCGGCATTACAAAATAAAGTAAAAGTTGACGAGAAAGCATGCATTTTTTTTTATCATAAAGATTGTTTGATAGATCAAAGAACCAAATGGTTTCAATCTTTTAATTGTAATGTACGATTCTTTAACAATTCAGAGACAATTTGAATGTCCAGGTAACTTTTTAATCGAACCATTAATAGAGTTTATCTAACAATCCCTTATTTCATTACAAGATATATAACAAAAACCTTTTCTTTTGTGTGCAATTTGCCAAAAAAAAAATGATACTATGGAAGAATATTCTTGAGTACAGTTTGCGCAAAAGACTTACAATAGGGGAATATGATCCACTTTTGGTTATCGCCATCATTCCATTCCCATAAAATAATTTCAGTGCCGTCATGAACACCACCATGTTCTTTAACACCCTTAGATGCATCTAGATGAAGATGAATATCGGTGACTGTCCTAAATGACCTATAACCATCACCCAAGTCATTCCCCTCACTCCAAAGAACAGTCATGTCGACTTCATTAGGGTTGTATTTCTTTAGCTGAACCTGAGAAATAATTTACAAGTACACACACACGTGATAAGTGATTTAGAGTTTATATTAACACACTAAGCATAATCAATCACTTTCATTCAAAACATGATAAAAGTTTTTTTCAATTTTTAACCGACAAAAGTAGAATGGCATACCGGATAAGTTACACCGATTGAAAATTTCATAGCTTCACCGGTGGCTTTGTTGACCAAGGCAAAAGCGGGATTACCCTTTTCATCCTTAATGCTCCTACCAAATTTCTCATCTTTGATCCAATGCTGTTTAGATGTCAAACAAATTGGTGTTGGTGAAACAGTTGGAAGAAAGAGCAAGCTCATATACTATCAGAAACTGAAAGCAAGAAACCTGGTGAAGATCAGAAGAATTAGTTGGAGCAAGAATCACTTTTCCATTGCGTATAGTGAGAGAGTAATCAGTTTTTGCCTTGGTATAGACCCGAAATGTGGGTTTATTGTCCATATAATTTGTGGGTGGACGGATAATCGGAGGAATGTGAAGGCTGTGGTGGCAGCTGCTCTCGGGAGAGACATGGTAGAAAGGTTGCGGTGGTGATGCCAGAAGGTGGTACTCTGCGAGGTAAGAATCAAAGATTTCAGGTGGTTGTTCAATGTGGCCGTTAGCATTTGGATTTGGTGGTAGAGGAGATTCATCATCACAGCCGGGGCAGGAGGCGTTGTGGTGATTAAGACGAAGGTGGAAGAAGAGGTTGGAAAGGCAAATCAAAATTTCTTTGTAACTTCGAAACTCATGGAAAGGAGGTGGAAGAGGAAAAAAAGGTGGTTGTTCACGGTTGTAATGGTGGTTCACGTGAGGTGGTGGAAGTGGTTGTTCATAATGGTTATCGGTGTTCATCGGAGGTGGGTATTGTGGTTCCTTGTCATTGGATTGGTTGGTGGTGATGGTCATTTCTTGAACACCACAAATAAACAAGAAGTTAGCAACTAAACAACGTTAGAAATTAGAATTATCAGAAATTAATTAATTAACCATGACTTACCTTGGATTTGTTCGGAGATATAATCTGAGCAGCCAAAGATCTATTCACTACGGTGGTTGCTTTATTAAATTTTGCTGTTGATCGTTTATGAATCTGTTCGTTCTCCTCCACATGCGATGGGAAACCGTGAGGATTGGTCCTTATCGTTTTGGTGTCTCTCCATCTTATTTGGGATGCAGGAAAACAGTTTGGGGTTTCTTGTTTCCCAACAAAGATGCGTTGAGAGGTTTTTTCGTTCTCATGAATGTACTATTTTAGAATGGGATTTCCACAAAATACCACTTCTTACTTGTTAGATATTAAGAAAACAAATAATACTTTTTACTTTTTACAAAAGATGGTTTTTACAAATAATACTTTCCTAACCTGTTTCGGACACCCACCCGCGTAAGCCACCCCTATTAAAATGAAACCTGATATGTTGTACTCACCACCTATCAAAATAACAATATTTCAGACGTTTTAGAATAAAATGAAAATATGATTGGACTGTGAAGAGCTTCAGGTGTTGTGTGTATTTTCTTTCTAGCTTATACATTTTCTATTATCTTAAATCACTTATATGGCTAAAAGAATTAAGATGAAATGGAAAACCCTAATCCAAACTCCAATGAACTTGTCCGCAACATATATAATGTTTGTTTCAAATTCATAGTAATCGAGTGAATTACATGATAACACAAATTAATATATTGTAGTAGCAGGAACAAATAGATGAATGGTAGTAACACAGCACCACCCTTATGGCTTTATCATAGTGGAAAGTTATGTCAATTTCTACAAATGGCCAATGTGATTAACATTCTTGTTACTTGAAAGTTATATCATAGATGTTGTTGCATATATGTGGCAAATGATATGGCTGAATAGAGGCGACAATGTGGAGGTTGAAAGCGACAATGTGGAGAATGAAGGCGGTGCTAATGGTGTAGAGTGAAGGTGGTGGGTTTAGATTTACGGTTAGATAGAGTTTTTTTTCGGAAAATAAAAGAAAGTTGAAAACAAAATAAAAATAAAATCAAGCATGGTAATATCAGAAATAAAACAAAACAACATGAACCAACAACACAAAAACTAAAACCATGAGAACCAAATAGGTAAATGCTTTGATAGTTTTCATCAACCAACTAGTTTTGACAAACCTTACTTTGTCTAAAAGTAACAATGAGCATTAAATCTCAGTGTTGCAAAAAAAGGCATAAACAATATATCAAATTAGAGATATATAAGAACACTTGGAAAACCCATCATTCAAAAAACACATGAACACCATATGACGTGGAACAAAGCATCTCTCATGGCCAAATATCGGAACTCCACTCACACAAAATCCTGCACAAAACCATAACATAAAGTCAAGACGAAGTAGCTTATAAACAAAGGGGCATTACATAATAAGGTAAAGAATGTGAATAACATTTTTTATCATTAAAGTAGCTTGATAAAATCATAAATGAATAGTTTCTATATAAATGGTTGACAAAAAAAATGTAAGATTGCATAATTAGGCAATCCAAGGCTTTTGATTGAAACAGTATGAATGTCCACCGATTAAAATGAACCAATACGAAAGTTATCTAACATGTTTTTATTACAAGCTTATAACAAAACCCTTTTGATTGATTTAAAAGATACTTTCATTTGGCGTGCAATTTGCCAAGAATAAAAATTGATAACCATGCAAACATATTATCGAGTAAAGTCTGTACAGAAAGACTTACAATACGGGAGTATGACCCACTTTTGGTTATCGCCATCATTCCATTGCCACAAAATAATTTCTGTGCCATCATGAACACCACCATATTCTTTAACACCCTTATGTGCATCTAGATTAAGATGAATATTGGCGACTGACCTAAATGATCTATAACCATCAGCCAAGACGATCCCCTGACTCCAAAGAACAGTCATGTCGATTTCATCAGGGTTGTATTTCTTCAATTGAACCTGAGACATACATGATTTACAAGTACACACTGAAGATAACAAATTTGGAGTTTATATCATCATACCAAGCATGATCAATCACTTTCATAGTTTCATTAAAAACCTGGTCATAAAAATGATTCTTGTCAAAATTTAACCCAAAAAAGTAGAATGGCATACCGGAAAAGTTTCACCGATAGAGATTTTCATAGCCTCTCCGGTTGCTTTGTTGACCAATGCAAAGGCGGGTTTCCCCTTTTCATCCTTAATGCTACTACCAGGTTTATCATCTTTGATCCAATGCTGTTTAGATGTCAAACAAATTGGTGTTGGTGAAATATTTGGAAGAAAAAGTAAGCATATGTAGTATCGGAAACTGAAAACAAGAAACCTGATGAAGATCAGAAGAATTGGTTGGAGCAAGAATCACTTTTCCATTACGGATAGTGAGAGAGAAATCTGTTTTCGCCTTTGTATAAACCCTAAATGTGGGCTTATTGTCCGTATAATTTATGGGGTTTTGATGGTTAGTGTGTGAACATATAATCGGAGGAATGTGAAGGCAATGGTGGCTGCACTGAGGAGAGACATGGTTGGAAGGTTGTGCTGGTGATGCCAGACGGTGGCACTCTGCCAGGTAGTAATCGAAGGCATCAGGTGGCTTTCCGCTGTGGTCGTTGGCGTTCGAAGTTGCTGGTAGAGAAGATACGTCATCACAGTGGAGGCAGGTGGCGTTCTGGTGGTTGAGGCGGGTAAGGTGGAGAAGGAGGTGAGTAAGGTGAATCGAAATTTCTTTGTAACTTCGAAACTGATGGAAGGGAGGTGGAAGAGGAGAGAAAGGTGGTTCTTCACGGTGGTGGTGGTTCACGTGAGGTGGTTGTTCATAGTGGTTATCGGTGTTGACCGGAGGTGGGTATTGCTGTTCCTTGTCTTTGGGGTGATCGGAGGTGAGAGTCATTTCTTGAAAACCACAAGTAAACAAGAATTTAGCAACTAGATAACATGATAATCAGAAATTAACAATGGCTTACCTTCAATTTCTTCGGAAAAAAATTCTATCAGCTGCAGCCAATGACTTCTTCACTACAGTTGTTTGTTTCTTAATTTCAAATCTTCAATCAAGTGTTAGACGTCTTACCCATCCTCACCATTTTATAAGGGAGCACTACAAGAAACGGGACCTATCAGGACGACAAATGTCGTCTCTATAGGTTAAAAAAGTCGTCCCTATAGGTGTCCGGGACGACATGTCGTCCCTGTAGCTCTCGTCCTCATAGCCCCGTCGCAATAGATCTTTTTGGCCGTCGCTATAAATATCGTCGCAATAGCTATCCTTTAGAGACGACAAGTCGTCCTGTTCTGGTTCGTCGCTATACATTGCTGGTCTCCATAGATGAAGCTATAGAGACGACATGTCGCCTCTATAGGTATATCTATAAACACAACACGTCGTCTCCATAGATAGAGATGTAGTCGACTCGCCCTACCCTTTAGCAACAGTATGTGGTCGTGGTAGATGCATCTGTAGAGACGACATGTCGTCTCTATAGATCCACCTATAGAAACGACATGTCGTCTCTATATGTATGCCCATACAGCTGCTCTTTTTTCTCTATAATTTCCCAGTTTTCATGTCACAAAATTACTAAAGCAGTAAATTTACAAAATAGATAAAACGGTAAATTTAATTGCAAAACATTAATATTTTATACAATCTCAAAACACTACATTATTAAATATAATTCATATGAAGAACAAAATTATTAACTTGAGGAAATTTGCATAATCATCACATGTCTTATCATTTGTGTACATAACACTACACTCTACATGGTTTATAAAAGCACCATCAACAATGGATTGCTTCTCATCATAGTGTGCCCTTTTTTGCTCCCTAAAGCTTTTTGCACTCTTCCCACTTTCATTATCTGAAAAAAAAGGATGAAGGAACTAGTAGAAGAAGGAACCTTGATCTTGATGTCCATCTATTTCATCTTCATCATCTGAAGATGTCCATCCAGAATGCAATCTCATTCAGTGCTAAACGGATTTCAACTTAACATAATCCAAACCACCTTCTGCAAAAAATAAAAAAGTGTAAATTGTAAGTAAAATGACCACATTTTAATGATTTTATAAATAAAAGATGAAATTAAATTTATATACCATTGAAGTTTTTTTTTTCTGATGTAACAAAGGTAAGCATCTGTTCCAGATAGGTTGGATTCCCATATATTTGCACATATTCACTAATCGAGGCCTAATAAACAGAAATTTTTATGAAATAAATCAAATTCAAATTATGTAATGTGTACAATTTAATTGGTACCTGTTTCAAGAAAACATGCAAATGGGGATGTGAATCTTGATCGATTAAAACATTATCCAAAATTGTCTGAAATGATGTCACAAATCCCATTTCTTTGTATATGTTGTAAAGCCGGGGTAGCTGAACAACACAAGTATGCATATAAATTATAATGTTAGTTGATATTAAAGTATAAACATTTGGTGTCTTTTAAAGTATTGTAGTAAGAGATCACCTGAATCAACCAGACAACATTCTCACTGTATAATTCATTGTTTACAATCCAACTAGCTAAATTGTCCCATTCACTTTTCTTTCTTCCATATATAGATATTCTGTATTCAGCCATCTGTCAAAAGGCAAAAGCTTTAAGTGTAAGTGTAAGTGTCATGCATGGATCAAAACAAATAAAAGGAATAAATAAATAACATGGATTTCAAAACTCACTTGTCCCATTCACTTTGCTTTCTTCCATATATAGATATTTACTCGCTTCAAGATCTGCAAACACTTGGCTTGTTACCTCAACAAGAAAACGACCTGAAAAAGTAGTGAAACTTACCCTGAATAAGATTGTCCTGTTTCAAGAAAATCTCCCAAAGCCTACTTTGACCACAGGGGTTGTATTTCAGATTGAATTTATCAAAACGATGAAATGTGCACATCTAATTGATCAACATTCAGGTCGTATCTACATTTAAGACTTATGATCAGAAAAAAAAAACATTCACACAAGAAGATATAATTGTTCTACAGATAGTAAAGTTACCCGGTTAAATCCAAGCTCTCAAAAACCTCTTTTAAGGTCAGATATGTCCCATCACAAAATATTACAACCTGAAACAGGAAAAAAGAAACTTTGATTCATGCAAAAGAGAAACACATTTTTAAATGATCAAGAAATAGATATGAAGCATTACCTCATCTGGTTTCTTTTTGAACTTGGACTTAATGAACCTCAACAGATGCTTTTGATTCATGCTATCTTACAATCTTTATCTGCATAAACATGAACCACGCCATCTTCCATTTGAAAATAATGCTGCAACCATTTGAATATCAAGTCAAGATTCAAGAAAATAAGCATCAAGAACAAACTTGTGTCAGAAACTTCAAACCTACATCATATTTTGTCTCAGGGGTATACTAAAAAGGATTTGGATTACGCTTTGGAGAACTAGGATCAGATATAACTTGTTTTTCCCATGGAGCAATGTATTCTCTGTACACATAGCTCTTTCGCATCTCAAGACAACCTTGTAATGCTCTATAAACCTCTGCTTCATCAGAAGATGGTGTCTCTGCAATAAGAGGAGTTGGAAAGAAAGAAGATTATTCAATTTTCAAATACTTGTGTATGTATGTGTTTTCCTGCATAGATGAAATTACAAACAAAAAGAAAGAGAGAAGATTACCAAATGGGCTGATTCTCAGCCTTACAAAGGTCTCATGCTCTGGTTCTTTCCTAAGAATATCAGCAGCTACAGGATCTGGTTGAACACCATGCAGGTCTCCAGATACACTATGCTCTCCATTTGCATTATTATGTTCTGGTAAGCTCCCATGACCCTGTTTGGTAGATGCGAAACAGATGTTAAAAAGCATGTGTTTCAAGATGGAATATCAGGTATCAGTTACAAACACACACGGAGATCTAATAATGTATCAAAAGCTTACAGCATTTCCATTAGTATGAAGGTATGTTGTATCTAGATCAGCATTGTCAATCATATCAGCATCTTCTTCAGACGAATAGGAAGTAGACAGAGAGAGTAAAAGGGAAGGATAAGAACCGATTTGAGAGGATACGTGATGATTTGAGCAATGATACCTCCGCCAGCTCCGACAAGGCCATTCACGACTGTGTTCGACATTTCTCTCCGTCGATGATTCCTGTGAGAGCTATGAAACCATAGAAAATCACAATTCCGGTTTCAAACACATAATTGCTAACATAAACCCCAATTCCAGTTTCTAACCGAGAATTACTAACCTAGGTCGCCAGAGTGGGGCTTGTAATTGTTAGAACTCGTAACCGGGGGTGAAAAGGAAACCGATAGTTGGAATCGTCGGTGTTGAAGCTGATCGTCGGTGGTCTTCGGCAACTAGCATGAGGATCGGTGGAGAGAGGAAGAAGATTTGCCGGTGGTGGGAGGTGTGGAAGTCGTCAGGGGAGAATCTTTGACCGATCGATCGAGAGAGACCGATGATTGATTACTTAGCGTGCGTGAATGAAACGAAGGGGCTGTTCCAATTTTGGCCGTAGAGAGCTATGAGGACGACAAGTCGTCCCTATAGGTATCCCCAAAACGACCTTCCCCATTATTTCCGTCAAAGGATTTAAAAAATATGTTATTTTTTTATTTTTTTTATTTATTGGAGCGAGAAGTCGTCCCCATAGGTGTTTCAAGAACGCACCAAATTCACTTTCGTTCCCGCCTAACATGTTGAGACGAGAGGTCGTCGTTGTAGCTTCAAAAGTCAAAAATAATTAGTCAACTCTATGGCAACAACATGTCGTCCCTATAGTGCGACTATTGCGACGACATATGTCGTCCCTATAGATCTCGTCTCTATAGGTGCTTATTCTTGTAGTGGAGGGAGGCTAATCGTTTAAGAAACTGTTCGTTCTCCTTCAAACGCAACCGCCAAATGTCAGGATTGGTCTTCAATTTCTCCTTCCCAAGAAGAAATATTTGCATGTTCTCTCCCTGGCCAAAGTATAATCATTTAGCATCTATACGTCATGACAAAATTTCATAACTGGGCTAGTTTCCAAAATATCTCATTTCGAGTATTTTCAACGAAAACGCCATGCTATTGGTCCCTATGGTTTACAAAATTACATGAGAAGTCTTCGTGCCGTTAAATTTAACTTTTCAGCTGTTAAACATTAATGAAAAATACTATTTTACCCTTTTACCAAAATTGCAATATATATACTACAAACCTCAAGGACCATTTGTGTAATTTTATATATATATATATATATATATATATATATATATATATATATATATATATATATATATATATATATATATATATACACACACATACACGCACAATTTCAATAATTTGATAACTTGTTTTTGGACATTTTTTTTTAATTTTTATTTTATAATTTTAGTTATTTATGGTTTTTTAATGTTTTTATTTATTTTAATTCAAGTAATAAAAAATAGAAAAACAAAAAAACAAAAACTCAAACATCAAAATTGTAATATACTCTAATATATTAATACATTTTACATTTTTCATATTTTTTTTGGTTTTTTCGTATTTTTTTCATATTTTTTAATACTTTTCGTATTATTTTTTAATTTTTTCCTATTTTTAATTTTTTCGTTGTTTCGTTTTATTTTTCATCAATTTGATAACTTTTTTTTTTGACATTTTCCAAAAATTGTAAAATATATGAATATATTAGAGTATATTACAATTTTGGTGTTTGAGTTTTTTTGGTTTCCTATTTATTATTATTATTTTGGTTATTTATGGTTTTTGTAACTTTTTTTTATTTTGATTCGAGTAAATAAAATAGTTATATTTACAAATATAAATAAAGAAAATAAACATAACTTTTTATTTACTCAAATCAAAATAAAAAAAATTTACAAAAACCATAAATAACCAAAATTATTTAAATAAAATAGAAAATCAAAAAAACTCAAACACCAAAATTGTACTATACTCTAATATTGTAACACTTGGATGTTGGTATGTTCTTATTTGCCCTTTTTGTTTAAATTATTGCAATAATGGTCCGTGGAGTAGTACGTGAGGCGTACCACATGGTACCGCTTAGCGTACTACCTAAGAAGCACACGGGGCATGTCGCATGGTACACGTAGCGTAATAAGGAGATGCTAGTCGCGGATGCGAGGCCTCGTACGCTGGGTGTACGAGGGTTACGCTTAGCATACTCGGAGCTTAAGAAACCCTAATTTTAGGGTGTTGTACCCTATATAAAGACCTTAAGTCCCTAGGGATGGCCTCTTTACCAGCCCTCATATATTCTAATCCCTAAAAATCAACCTTAAGCCTCCATTGTTGTGTCCTTGAGCCTTTGAGAAGGATTTAGTGCTTATTTTGCTCATCTTGAAGGATTTGAAGAAAGATGAAGGTGCTTTGCTTGGTGGGAAATTTAGAGATCTAGAATCATCACTCATTTTGCAAGCTTCTTGTAACGCCTTGTTTTTGTTTGATTGTATCGATGTAGGGTTAATAAATAATATCAAATAGTTATATAATTAAGTCATACATTCGATGTGGAATTAGTAAAGATAGCAGGGTAAACCGGTTAAAATGTACACTTATTAAATAAAAATATTAATTAAACATTTTAAAAGCATACCTTAGGGTTTAATGATAAATAATAACAATAATAATTAAATATTAAAGGTCCAGGGGTTAATGTGTTATTTTGGAAACTTAATTTGTTCAAGCAAAGTGAGATAGGGTATGTACTGTCAAAAGACCAAACCTCAGGGACCTTTCATGCCAAATTTAGAAACCTAGTCCCAAGTTTGTCTCCTGGCCTGTAACATCGTACGCAAGGGGGGGGGGGACCTCGTCCGTTCTCTTTTAAGGCTGCAGCCAATTCGTCCCATTCGTGCAAACCCTAGTTTAGATATATTTGCGTGCGTTGGAGGCGACCGGAGAAGTAGTGAGGAGAAATTGAGTCTGAAAGAAAAAAGAGAAGAGGAGGGAGGCTGTCGCCATTGACAGCTCGTCAGAGTTCGCCAAAACGCCATTAGATGCCGCCGAAGCTCCTGTTATAGGAATATAGTTGCGGGAAAGCATGGAGTGGTGGTGGAGGATGTTGGTGTTGTTGTTTGGAACGTTTGGTTTAGGTAAGAAAACTCTTTTTCTTTCAATCTAACTTTGTTCTTCCTCTTCTTTCTTTACCGAGAGATGCCACCACCATTGTAGTTGGCAACCTTGGCCATCGAAGCTCACTCCTGCGCTACCACAGGCCACCGTGGGTTGGTTGTGGTTGGTGCTTTGATTCTTAGCTATGTTTTGAAGTTTAAGGAAGAAACCATTTACTTTTCTTTTTCCATCAACATATAAAGAGAGTGCAAGAACATGTTTTTCCAAAAAAGAAATGGTACAAGCATCTGAAGCAAAGATGATGATGAAAGGATATCATGTGAAGGTACTTAGCTTACCATTTACGAGTTCATGCTTTTGGTTTTGGCTTTAAATAAATAATTTAGAATTAAGTGATTGGATTTGGACTTTTAGATGTCATTTGATTTGTTGACCAATTAGTATTTCCATTTAAATGGGTTATGGGGTTTTTGGCATAAAGAAAACTGGTAAAAATGAAGTTAGTTATATATGGTGTTCATTTGTATATTCAAACGAAAATTTATGTTGAACATTGTGATTTCTAAAAGAAAAGTGGTATGGACCTTACCATCAACTTAATTGACTTAGAACAAATAATTCTAGTTATATAGTAAATAGCTATATTGTTTTTCAATGAGTTGGATGTGATTAATCAATAGTTCATACTTTAAGGTAATATAAAAAGGTAAGGTAGATATTATTCTATGAAGCTTAGTTGAATTTAATTATTTTAAGTCATGTAATGATATGTTGAATTCATAAAGTAGTAATTGACATAATTAATATATTTGTGGGGTAGGTCCAGTAAGATAATTATCAAGTACATTTAAAAGTATAGTATTTAGAGTAAATATCATCGCGTCGGGAATTTAAATCACAAACTTGATGTAAGGAAATGTTATTTATATAAGTATTATTAATTAGTACTTGAAATATGAGCTAAGTAGAGATTTTTTATATGAGATAGGTGCTCAGGGAGCTGGACAACGCTTCAGTGCTTTTAGTATACGTCTTGCTGCTTCAGGTGAGTTTTCCTCACTGTACTTATGGGTCGAAGGCGCCATAGCCAACCCTTTGGATTGTTATCCTGGTTTATCATATGCATGCATGTTGTGGTGACCTGTTAGATCGGTATCCTGGTAGATAGGATGATGCTATGCTTAGTGATCTGTTAGATCTGCCTGTTATCTGTTTTGGCTATATGTTTCTAGTAGCATGTGTTGATGTAGTGTGGTTGGGTTGAGATTGTGATGCTTTGTGCTGCCAGTAAACAAACCTTGCAATATTTATATCGGTATGCTATATGCATGCTTATCTGTTATGTGTATGTCGACATGTGTGTGTGTGGTCGGGTTGAGGCGGTCCTGCTTTGTGCTGAAGGCCAACAGACCCAGGGCGGCCCTGATAGACTGAAGGCCCTGCGAGGCGGACTAGTCAGGTCGAAGGCCTGACAAGCGGTCCGGATATGTTGTAGGCCATGTGAGGCGGCGAATCATGACGAAGGCTTGGGAGCGGTCCGAATAGGTTGTAGGCCATGTGAGGCAGTCCCGTCATTCCGAAGGCTCATGAGCGATCCAAACAGGCTGAAGGCCCGGTGAGGCGGACCAGACATGCTGAAGGCTCTGTATGCATGTTGTTATTGTTGGATTAGGTGTCTAAGCCCATAACTATTTTGGTATGTACTTGACCCGATTATGAGCATGATCCTTTTGGGTTGCCTTCACTCATGCAACTTGATAGGATGACAAGAGGAGAGAGAGTAGAATTTATTATATAAATAATAAGTTCGTACTCAAAATGGTTTTATTAATATATTACAAGATTAATATATTATTTGGAAATCATATTATTTTATTAGTATTGATAGGAAATTAATTTGGAATTAATTTGGTGATCAAAAGAGACTGATTAAATAAAGGGGACTGATATTGCAATTATCTTTGCTAGTTGGGCTATGGATTCCTAATAGAAAGGGATTAGACGAAATCTATGGAGAGTCCAAGAAGATTTCGTCCAAGGGCTTTCTAGATGGGCTCCATGGATTGCTTAAGCCCTAAGCAAGGAAATTAGGGTTTCCACCATAAAACCCTAATAGCCTCAACTATAAATAGATCCCTTAGTATATGGAAATCGGCGTTATGCTTCTTGGAGTTTCCCTAGCCGATTTCCTCCTCTCTCATAAGTCATCTTGTTGCATTGGGTGTTTGTGATTCCATTAGAGGCACAACATTTGAGGCACTAAGCTTTCAAAGGTCAAGGAGTTCTTGTTATTACTACATAACAAGTTGAGGTAATCATTCTAACTTGTTTATTATGTCTATTTTGAAATAAGCATGCTAGATTAGGGTTTATTGCTTTGGTATTCAATGTTGTATGTTCAAATTAGAAAAACCTAGATCAAAGCAATTACGGTTGCATGAACACCATAGGAATGATGTTATGCTCATAACCCCACAGTGGTATCAGAGCCTATGTCGTTTTTCTAGCTGAATAGATGCAAAAGTGAACTGTCAAAGGATCAAAAAGTCGAATTTTTGCTGTCTGTGAAGCCAACTCGGTGAGTCCATCATTGGACTCGGCGAGTTGCATGAACTCGGCGAGTCCATCAGTGGACTCGGCGAGTCCAGGGTGATGTTGTCGGGATTTTCGATTTTTTGAGTAGTTTTTGATGAGGATAATTACCAAAACTCGTTTTTCTTGCCTAAAATCGATTTTTTATGTTTGGTATGGTTATCCTTATCAAAATTAATGGATTTGGTTAAATATGGACAATATAGGATTATTATGATTCAAATATTTGACCTACTATGTTTGAAAAGTTTCAATTTTCACTCTTTCGGTTTTATAGTTTAAATTTGAACTTAAAAAGTTTTAGTTTTTGAAATTTAAATAGTTAAACCCTAATATTTTGAAAAGTTTCAAAATTTGTCCTCAAGTTTTGGAATTTATAATTTAATTAAAAAGTATTAATTTTGAAATATTAAATTCTAAAACCCTAGTATTTTGAAAAAGTTCAAAATTACCCCCTTTATGGATTTCATTAAGATAAATTAAAAGTTTAATTAAAAGAGAGAATTAATAAATCCATAATAACTTTAAGATTAATAAAATTGAAAGTCTAATTTATTAATAGATTAAACCACCTAGTATTTTAAAAGTATAAAATACACCCTTATACTATATAGAATTAAAAGTTTAATATTATATATGTATAAGTAAATGTCAGTCTTACCGTTAGTAGGTCTCATTCACGAAGCTGGTCTGTAAGGGGTGTTTAAGGAAGCGGCCTGTAAAATGACCTCCATTGGGTATCCACTCTTACCCACCGCACTCTTGACTAGTGGAGGGTCGTTAACCGAACGGGTAGGATAGGACACAACCTTCCATTATAAGTATCATGAAATACGAAGTAACTAAACACTTTTATAAATTCCCAAATCTTAGTTACTTTAGGAAAAATGTAGAGTTGGTGCTAATCCATGAAATAGCACATTGCACCTTGTTGGTCGTCAGTGGAGCGTGTGTGGTTAACCGACACACTAATATGGGACCAATGAAGGAAGGCAATGGGTAGCTCGTAGATTATCATAGATCAATGGAGCGTGTGTGGTTAACCGGCACATTGATTAGGTGATAGGCATCTTCGAGAGTACCAAGCTAATTTGCATGGTTATCCACACCTTGTTTGTGATCCTCGGTATCCCAGTCACAAACTTGAAGGGCATGATCGAGATTAAACATGCCATTGAAAAGCTCAATGAATCTCAAAAGATCTAGGAGTTTCAATTCATTTTAAACCTAATTTTCTTTTTTGTTTTTCATGGTGGAAATTGGTAAATCGTCATTTACCTACCTTCAAATATTCTGCAATTGGATTACGGCATCCCTCTTCCGAATTGTAGAATATTGTGTTGGATCCTAGCCTTAATATTTCATTTGGGTGTTATATTTAGGATTAGATAAACTAACTTGGAATTCTCCCATTTTGTAGATGTCAAAATCTAACAACTATGGTCTTCCCAAATCTTTTGGAAAAAGCTTTCCACATGAAGATGATGTTCCGCGATTGGATCATGAAAATGGAAATCATGTTTCACTTCCTCCACCTCCTCCAATAATTCTCCCTGACCCACGTGTTCGAAGACTTGAAAATTTCAAGGTCACTCAAGCCCTATTGGCAAGCAAACACGAAGATGGAAAGTCTATATGTGCTCACATCTTGGAGATGAAGTTACATATTGACAGGCTAGGAATGTTCGGTGTCGATGTCTCAAGGAAGCTGGCTGTTGACTTGGTTCTTCAATCACTTCCTGAATCATATAGTGAGTTCATTAGAGATTACTATATGATGGACCACGACGTGACCCTAATTGGTCTTACCTATTTGCTTATTGCTGCTGAATCAATAATGATTTGGCACACTGGTCAAGCAAATTTGTCTGGTAGATCAACTTCCCAAACTTCCATGGATATCGACGATGGCAACATTGGAAGTCCAGAAAAGTCTTCTGGAATTCCAAGTCGAAGGTCGGGTAATATTGAAAAGAGTTATGCTGACAAAAGACGAAAACCTCTGGAATTCCAAGTCGAAGGTCGGGTACTATTGAAAGTCTTTCCCTGGAAAGGAATGATTCGCTTTGGGAAACAGGGAAAATTGCCCGAATTGGTCCAGTAGCTTATAAGTTGCAGCTACCTTCGGAGCTCAACAATGTACACCCCGTGTCCCACGTCTCGAATTTGAAAAAAAAATGCCTATCAGATGAGACTCCTGTCATTCCTTTAGAAGAGATCGAGATAAACAAGAATCTTATTTTCGTCGAAGAACCGGTCGAAGTTATGGACAGGGAAATGAAGCGTACTAAACAAAGTCGCATTTCCTATTGTGAAGATTCGATGGACCGCTAAGCGTGGACCGAAATTCACATGGGAACGCAAGGACCAGATGAAGC